AGAAAACTGTGGGGAAAAAAGCAAAAAAGGGAAAAAAAGCAAGGCCCTCCTTTCTGTTCTCCTCACTTTCTAAGCAGTGGTCTCAAGAGGTGGGTGTGAAGGGAAATGTGGGGGCAGAGTGAAGACTCTCGAAAAGCTGGCCAGAGTGAAGACAGCGCTGATGGGAAGAGAGAGGGCACAGCGAGTGTCCCTTCCGGGAGTTTAAAATTAGAAGAGTACAGGCTGGGCATGGTGGGTCACACCCGTAATCCCAGCCACAGGCTGGGCATGGTGGGTCACACCTGTAATCCCAGCTCTTTGGGAGGCTGAGGTGAGAGGACTGATTGAGGCCAGGAGTTTGAGACCTGCGTGGGCAACACAGCAAGACCCTGTTGTGAAGCAGGAGGATCCCTGGAACCCAGGAGCTCACAGCTGCAGTGAGCCACGAACATGTCACTGCCCTCCAGCCTGGGCAACAGAGTGAGACCCTGTCTCTAACTGATAAATAAACAAATTAAAAAAATAAATAAAAATACCAGAGTATGTGGTCTAAGAGACCTCAACCTCTCAGCACCCTCCGGCAGAGCAGATGATCAGATCAGAGGCCACAAGTCGTTTACTTTTGTGACGTATTCATAAGCCAAGCAGCCACCCAGGAGCTCAGGTAATGAAGAAAACAGGCAGAGATAAGCCAATGGCTGTTTATAGCCGCCCAAGCCTGGGAAGAGAGGCCTTTACAGCCATTAAAGCACCACAAAACCTGCCAACTCAGCTCAAGTGAGCAGACTAAGCATCAGGGAAGCAGGTTTCTCAAACTTTAATGTACCAAGGAGCTTGTTAAAAAGCAGACTTTGACTCAGCAGATCTGAGGAGGGGCTCACAATTTGAGCAATTCTGCCTAAAGCTGGGCTGGCTTCACTAATCTAATGCTAAATACACATTGTTAGTTTTCTTTTAAATGCTGAAGCTAGGACAATTATAATTATATTCATGAGTCTTATTTTTACATTCCATATATCTTTTCCAGTGTTATTAAAATTAATTCTTTAAATACTAAACTGCCAAGGACAGAAATATCCAAAGTGTATTTTACAGAATAGGCATCTCTATGAAGATTTTTATAAATTAATGATTTACGTTACTTCCTTGAGCATTATTCTATAAGAGACATGGTGTTTCATGACATGGGAATGTTCAATAAATCAAAGAGACTCTTCCACAGAACTTAACTAAATAAAATATGCCATTTAGTTCTCAGAGGGCAAGTGAACTTAAATTAAGAACATGGTTTGGGTCTGAAATACAATCCTTTCTCTCTTATTTCTTTTTGATTCCAGTAAACACCTTTTTATTCAATTAGAAGGTAGCCACAGGCAAATTCACTGCCATCTGAAAGAGTTTAGTCACCACCTGGTGGATAATAAAATAGTAACATCCAAAAATAATCTACCATTTCCTACACAAAAAAGGATTTTAAACTTCCAGCATAGTTAATTTTCATACCATACTAAACAATTATTTTTTAAACCCCCAAACGCTATTGCCACAATTTGGTAGACTACAAAGAATGCATTTCATCGTCAGAAGTGAGTTTAGAAAGAGGAGCAAGAACCTTTCTGTTCATTTGCAGTGGGAGCTGCTCAAAACCACCATGTCTTAACCAGGTCACTTCCTTAAAAGAGACAGTGCTCATTTCTGGATACAAACATCAAAGTGCATGTTAATTTTATGCTCATTGAATTTGCAACCTGTTCCCTCACACATTTCGGGGGTGGGGGGTGGGTAATCGAGGGAATAGGGACTCAAGAAATGTACAGCAATGCTTCTCAGATATGTCTGGAAAGGTAACACGTGCTTTGGCTGTGAATGTCGCTTCGTGGTAAAACAGGATTTGGAACAGAATTTCATCCTGACCAAGTTTTTGAAATAACCAGGAAGAAGATACAGATAAACTTCAATGGGGAACTGCATAAAGTCAAACAAAACAATACCAGGAAAATCCAAATAATATTTCTCTGCTGTTTAATTGATCTCAAGGAAGGAGAAATCCAAGTTCACAATAACTTACAAGTTCTGTCTTATTACATACAAAACCAAACATACAATTGTTTTAACAGCGAATAACAAACATGCTGAATTATCTTCAGGCCATTTCGAATAAAGTCTTGTACAGGCACCTAAATAATTAAATACTGCTTCTGAATTATCTTGAAATACAGTACCACCAAGAGTTTTATATTTTTATGTAACTACTCAAGTAAATGAGCATAAAAGAAAGAGGAGATACACAGTATTTCATATCATGGAAGGTAGGAATTCTTGTATCTTTCTGGAAAGTAGCTTAATAGGCCCAAGAACCTCCACGACCATCCTTCTTTCTGCCATAAGCTACTGCAAGACCAACTATATTCTCTGCCCCATCGTTTTTGTTACAGGCCACCAATTCTACCCCATTCAACTTAGTTCCAGACTCTCAACCTGTTTAGCGAGAGTTGGGAAAGAGTCTAAACCTGAGCAATCATGGCAAATTCAGATGTATTTTTGTAGCTCGTTTCTATACTTTTTAAACAACCTTTACTGCTAAATGATTCTAAGCCTAAAATATTTTTTCGTATATAAATTAACCTTGGATTGTTTTAATTGGTTTAGATGCAGGGTATGTGTGTAAACAATTCCCCAGAAACAAGAGGCACTTCTTGGAAATGCAATGACTCCTGTCACTAGACTACAGGACGCCTGATGATTCTGACATGATGCACTGAGTTCATAATTCAGTTTTCCAATGGTGTCTGCTTGAAAACAGCAATATTTTTATCTGCAGCATTTAGTGGATTAGGATGTGTTAGATATGCGTGTCAGAAATCATAACATTAAAATTGTGCTTATGAGGATTCTATAATAAACCTAACCTTAACTCATTTGGAGCTCTGATCCAATGACAATAATACTGGCTGAAATTGGCAATCAACCTGAGGCCAAAAAGTTAACAAGCAAAGTCACTTTTTCAAGCTTCTTAAACTGTCTGAACATAAGAAGTTATGGCTACTCCCCAGAGTGTGCAAGCGATTTCAATTAAAAGATCTGGGAACAAATGTTTGAGGCGTTCCTTCTAAATTTCTTAATCGTGACGGTCTTCAGCCCAGACACACACATTCCCCTAACAACTTGAGGTCTCTAGAGCACTCACACGGAAACATCCTAGGAAGGGCAGCAACTCGGCATAAATGCTTTAGTATTAACATGAGCAGTGCGGATATGGGCATGCCTGTTTGTGTATATGTACAGAACAGCATGCTCCTGGATATTTATTAGCCAGGAAACTTCATAAAGAGCTGCACAAAATCCAGCAGAGACAGACTCGTAAGTGAGATGCCAGCCATAAATAATGGACTAATCTTGGCTCACAAGAATCAGGGCAGGCAAGGGACACACAGGGTATCACTCAGGAACCACATGAACACTATGACTAGTACTAAATTTTCCAAATACAAAATATATACTGAGTACAAAAGTCAGACCACAGTTGAGGACAATGGAAGCAACACTTACTACGCGTCCATCTTTTGTTCCTAAGGAAAGATACGAGATGCAGACATAAGGGCATGCTTTCTCCAGGAGATGAAGAGGGAAAGAGGGAACCTGTACAAACAAGAAAATAAAGTCTTGAAAGAAGAAAACCACCATAAAAAATGTGGGTTTGTGGTTTGGAATGATTCAAACCAGATTTTAAAAGAAGATCTTACAATTTAACCTTTGTACATTGTTTAAATTATAAATCCATCTCGTCTTTACACTGTTCCCAATGACATTTTCCGCTGTATGAAAAGTCTGTAAGCTATTACAGATCTTCGAGGGAGAAATGCCAAGTATTTCATTTGCCCCCAAAATGAGAAAAACAGAAGCATGTAGGTCAAAAACACAAGTTTTTTTCCTTAAAAAACACAATTGTTTGAAGGGATAAAATTAACTGTTCATCGAAACACCCTGCATATCAAGAAACAATCAACCAAAGTTTTAGAAGAGTTTCGCCAGTATGAACAGAAAGTGCACAGCACAACTACAGGAATAAGTAAATATTATTAAACCACAGTCTCCAGGAGAGCCATGGAGCCACAAGGCCAGAGGACAGTCAGAGGACTTCCCGTAACTTCATTCATACCCCACTCCCCCTCCAACCTTAAACGTGTTCTCACCCGCTCCAATTCCCAGGAAGGATTTAAAAACCCTACTCTTGCAAACTAACTAATACAGATCATTATTTTTGGCTTGGGACAACAGGATCTAGAACTCAAATCAGTAACTTGATAATTACTCCATTTAAATTGGTTTCATGTATTTTAATCCTATAATGAGCCCTTTTCTTATAAATTATGAAGTAATTCCCTCTGCCACCTCTTACATGCCAGCAATTCTAGGGTGTCAAATACTTTACTGTTGGTCCCACCAAAGAGCAATAATCATGCTTAAATCCAGGGGCTTTCCAAATGGGAAAGTCTGCAAATTACGACAACCTCAGTTTAGAGAACCTGCAAGTGGACTTTGCCACCACTTCTGAACTTAAAGTGCCCTAAAAAGAACCTCACATATTAAAGTGCTAGATATCACTGTCTTTAAAGAGCAAGCAGCTTAGTGATAGAAGCTGCTCAAAATAGAAACTCATATGCTCCCTAACTTAAGAAGGGACCAAAACTTCTACGGGTAAAATGAACGGAAATTCTGCTTGAACAGTTTCTGAAAGAGGACAGGAAGCATGGTGACAAAGACCTTACTTTAAACATTTAGGATTGTTATTTAAAATATTTTCACGCCGGGCATGGTGGCTTATGCCTGCAATCCTAGCACTCTGGGAGGCAAATGAGGGAGAATTGCTAGAGTTTGGGAGTTTAAGACCAGACTGAAATGGAGCCAGATCCTGTCTCTACCAAAAATAGAAAAATTAGCCCGCAGGTGGTGCTTGCCTGTAGTTCCAGGTACACAGCAGGCTCAGGCAGGACAATCACTTGAACACAAAAGTTTGAGGTTGCTGTAAGTGACAGCACTGCACTCTACGGATGCACTGCCCTTCACCTGGGGCAGAAGACAGAGACTCTGTCCCCAGACAACCAAGCTGACATGTGATATTTTACATGCTTCTGTGCAAAGGAAAATGGGGAGCTGAACACCCCTATCTGTTCTGCATAGGCCAGTTTCCTGACTCTTCCCTTGGAGTGTTGCCATTGTACACCTTTATGTGGCACATACTTTGGTGATATTTTTTTCTCGAAAGGGCTCTCATTTGCTTAAGACTGTTAATGCAAAGAAAGTCTCATAGAAGGACACCTCTCTTGGAAAATAACCCAGTAGGGGTGGAAATAAGGACAGACAAAAGAGCCAATCAATGACTTCTACGTCAGTAATCACATTTCTTAAAATTCACAGTTTCATAACTTTGGGAAGCACTCCAATATTTGCATATCTGCAGGTCTCTGCAATTTATCATCTCAGATATTATTTTAATTCGTATGTGCTTTGCTTTATGCCATTTGTTCTGAGCCTTTTCTCACTGGATGGAGCGGCACGACCACAGCTATTTGCATTTCCCTTTTTCTTAAGATTCGCATGTGCTTGTGTCCTGGCACCCTTACAGGAGCTGGCTGTGTCCAGACTCACGGCTGACTGCCTGGGAGTGCGAATGTTACCATCCGTTTCCATCTGAGAGCGGCTGTCACTGCAGGACAAATCCCAGGGCTGCAGCTTGGTACTCTTACTTGATTTTTTTTTCTTCTCTTCTGTCCTCATTGCAAGGGTTTGTTTCTGAGAACACAACCTGCTACTTCCCAGTAAATCACTGGGTTTGGGAGCAGTCTTGAGTGTGTAATATGGTGCATGGGCTTCTTCGTGGTGGAAATCTTTCTTTCGTGAGGGGCCTGACTTGGAAGCCCCCTCCTGGTGAGGTAGCGGCTTGGACAGAGCACTAGTGATCAGCTTACTTCTCCCAGGGCTTTTCAAAGCCCCCAAGGTCCCAGGTGCAGTGGGAGGCCTGGCTTTGGTCCCCTTCCCTTTCTCACCCTGGATGGTCTGGATCTGCAGCCACTCAAGCTGAACAAGCCTGTCGATATACTTCCCCAGAAGTCCTGCCACCTGAGGCACGGCCTCAGCTTTACCCTCTGCATTCAGAAGCAGGGCCATGTCCCGCAGGTCCCAGGAGCTGAAAGGGGGTGGGAGGAAATCAGGGTAGTGGTATCCAGGCTTTGCATGGCCCTGACCTGGGTGAAGATCGAAGTAAACTGGATCAATTTCTTCAGCTCGAAGATTCAGATCTGGAGGTGTGAGGGGAGAAGGGGGAATGGGAATTCTTTCTGAGTCAGAGAGATCACTTGCACTGTCCTCATCAGCATCTTCTTTAATAATTTTCATTGACTGAAAATCAAGAAACAATTTGCTCCCGGAGGCCCCCTGACACCTAGGTCCCAGTAGATTCCTTTCGGGGGGTTTGTCTTGGAAAACACTTTCTTTAAGTTTATCCTCAGCTGGCTGGGAGACACTTACAAGGCTATTTCTCAGCTGGGAAGAAACATGGGGTCTTTGAGGTTGACTCTGTCTTTTTCCTGCTGAATTCTTCGGATGCTGCACTTTATTCCAAGACGGGCCAGCATTCATACTGCTAGGAAAAATAAAACTGCAATTCTTATTACATACAACAAGAAATGATCTGGATATGACTAAACAAATGAAAAGAATCCACTACTTAGGCTTTTTTTTTTTTTGATTCTGCTATTACTAGGCATTGGAAAATTTACAGCCTCTAAATTCCTTATAGAAGGAGTTTTATAAAACATTTTTCCACATAATACTCTACTTGAGAAACATTACATAACACACATGAATGCATAAATTTCACTCATATTTAACTTCATAAAAGAAAAGCATTAACATGGCTTAGTGCCTGTAGCTCAGTGGTTACAGTGTCAGCCACATGCATGAAGGCTGGTGGGTTCAAACTCAGCCCGGGGCCAGCTAAACAACAATGACATCTGCAACAAAAAAATAGCCAGGTGTTGTGGCAGGCGCCTGTAGTCCCAGCTACTTGGGAGGCTGAGGCAAGAGAACTGCTCAAGCCCATGAGTCTGAGGTTGCTGTGAGCTGTGATGCCCGACAATCTACTGAGGGTGACACAGGCTAGTCTCACTAGACTCTGTCTCAATTAAAAAAAAAGAAAGAAAAAAAGAAAGAAAGAAAAGCATTAACAGTTATCAAAGTGCTTATTTCTGTTTTAGACCAATTGTGTACTTTCAAAAACATAAGTTTAGCAAAATAATCTATCCTAGAACTCATAATCTAGTCTGTCAATGATAACCAGTAATTTACAACATTTATAAGTAAAATCCACAGCTTTCGTTTATATGTCTATTTTAAAATAGATGTAAATAGGATATAAAATGCAAGTTTTATGGCGTTTAATCACTGATTAGTGGTGATTCTGAGCAAAGGAAAATCTTAATATGTAAAAGTGCATAAAAACCTATACATTAAACCAAACGTTTATTAAAGTATTTTCAATTAGGAAACACATCTGGGAAAATCGTGTTAAAAGGACAAAAATAAAATCTGTGTGGTGCTTTACAATACAAAACTAATGAGAACACAGAGTTAATGCTATCCTGTGAATGGCAGATAAATGGGAATAAGGAATGCTGTGTGCATTACTAGTGTGGAAACTGATTCCTTTTACAATAATTTATTTTGAGGTAGAATCTCATATCAGAGTTGAAAATACTGTTTTTTTAGTTTATTTAGCAAGAACATCACATTGGACTAAGATTAATAATATTTCTCTGTAAGACAGCCAAATGGGGTGAACAGGTATGGATGGTAAACATGCTTTCTGGGAACCTTAGACATTCATTTCCCCAGTGGTTTTAACCAAACTGAGCAATTATTTGAAAAAATATTACCTATGAATTGTTGTGCTCAACAAATGCTGCATGAATGAATGAAAAAATGAAGCAATGGGCATTATTTTGTGTCTTCTAGCTGTCAGTGTACTTCTACAGAGTTAATTATTGTCAGTATCCTTTTATATCAAAGGAAACTAACATAGAAAGGTAATTATAGATTCTACTAACACAGCCAGAATTATGAACGCTGGAGTCCTTACCAACTAATAATGCTTAAAACCACTTTCATTTCTGCTAGATTAAAAAAAAAATGTGTATGTCTTAGACACATGGTTTAAATTTACATATTCAATCTGGAGACTTGAGATAATGTGCCTTTTGCAAGATAAAACAACCATACTAAAACCATTTACCTGTTTTTCTGATGAGATTCATTCACCCTATTCCTTTTCTTGAAAAAATCACATGGCTGATCATCATCTAGGGTCTGATGGACTGTCTAAAAAACAGGCATGCAGTAGTAAGTACTGTGAACACACACACACATGCACACAACAGATAAGAACAAAAAAACCCAGAACAAATCTAAGGTTTTTCCTGTAAGTTTACATCACCTTTTGGGTAGTGCTCAAAATACTCTTGCCCAACCTGTTGGAAGATGATGACAGCTGGGGAGGTAACTTCTTTATTCCTCTTATATTTGAAAAGGACTCCTCACCACCGGAACTAGAAGCAACAGAACACTGTCAGTAAGTACCTGTTGCAAATGGTCCTACCATCAGTATTGCGTTAATTCCCCGCTCCCCTTTTTAAAATCTTCGCATGGTATTGAAATATTGGGGTTGTGACTGCACAGTCATTCCTATTCTGAGTTGTGAAACAATGGGGGAGGGAGATACTGTCTTTTTTTTTGTTTTTAGAAACAGAGTCTCACTTTGTTGCCCTCGGTAGAGTGCTGTCTGTGGCATCACAGCTCACAGCAACCTCCAGCTCTTGGGCTTAGGTGATTCTCTTGTCTCCTGAGTAGCTTGGACTACAGGCGCCTGCCACAATACTCGGCTATTTTTTTGTTGCAGTTTGGCTGGGGCTGGGTTTGAACCCACCACCCTCAGTATATGGGGCCGGCACCCTACTCACTGAGCCAGAGGTGCTGCCGGGGAGATACTGTCTTTTATTGACTGTGGAGTCTTGTCTGCTTGCTTGTTTGCCTAGCAGATATTAGATAACAGTAAGTGTCTCGCTACTAACATACTGTGAATGGACTTCATCCCTTTCTCTCTTCCTCTACACACGTGTATAACCTCTTTGGAAATAATATGTTTGGGAAATTTCGAAAAGTAAATAAAGTCAGGAGTTATTCCAAAACTTCCATGTTCATTCAGCAAATAATTACCAAATTGCCTAGAAAATGGCAGGGATTATGCACATCTCTGTTTTCACAGAACCTCAACTGCAGTGGGGAAGCCCCCTCTGAATGGTTCTGTCTTCCCTATCACACCAGCCCATTCCTAGGGTTTCCATATATGCATACACATTACATACTGTATGACATCTGTGGCGTGCTGTCCACCCATACCCCAGATCACTGTTATTCCCTCTTACTTTGAGTGTTTTGCACTTATTAAAAGAGCACTGATGTAATTTCCCTTGCCTCTGTAAAACGGAAGAGGTGGGGTTACAGAAGATTTTAATTTCCTTTCAGAAACTTTCCTGTATTTTTTCCACAATAACTATGTAAGCTTTTTTCAGTTGGTTTATGTAAGATGGTAATAAAATCATATATGGGCTCTCACAATTAATGGATTATGCCATAATCATCAGGTATCTTTACACTTCATTTCACCTGACAAGCTTTATGCCAAAGGCTGCAGAGTTTTGTGTTCAAAGTTACAAGGTGGAAGAAATGACTGCCTCGAGGGTCCTAAGGATGCTGGGCAAGGGAGAGGGCAACGGAAAAAGCTTCCAGCCTCCCTGGTTCCGACTTGTACGGAAACAAAGCTAAACATGGGCGATTCAGGCTACAAAAATGCTCCCCAAGCGCCAGAGGCTGATTCAGGGCAGCTGCATAATTCATCACAGGGTGTTAACTCTCGCTCCCATGTCTTCCTCTCTGGCATCGCGCCGAGGCAGCGAGAAGCGGCACCTCCCCACCCCCAACCCCACCCCTCGAGGGAATTGGCTGACCCCGCCGCGCGGCAAAGCATTGTGGGTGCTATGCGGACATGCAGCTTCTCTACGCAGCCAGGCTCCCTCTGCCTGTCCGGGCGTCCAGGTTGCAGTGATCGTGTCCAAAGACCCTTAAACTCAGCCTGGGACCAGTTCCTGGCAAGGCTGGGTACCCCTCTCCGCCCCGTTCTCATTAACCCATAAATCCAAGGGCACTCAGCGTGCATTTTCCGTGTCCTTGGATGGTGCAGACACTATCTATGATCGACCGGCACACAGTCCACGCAGATGAAAACAGAAATTGATCAGACCTGTTTCGCGACCGCAGAGGGCACGTGACGAGGCCGCCTGCCTTCCTTCCTCTCCGGCGCCCGGGGAGGCCACACTGCGGCGCGCTGCGGTAGGGGCGCCGGAGCTGGCGGCGCGGGCGTCTGCGCTCAGATCCGCCGGGCTCCCCGGCAGCGCTCCCGCCAGCCAGGGCCAACCTGCGGGAGGCGTCACGAGGGGCGGGGCCGAGGCTCTCTGGGAAGTTGCACCCGGTCAAGTTGCAGCCTTGTAAGTTAACGCCGCGGAAGGGGAAGGTGGGAGGGGCCGCTCCGGAACGCAGCCTTCTTGCAAGAAGCTCCAAGGGAAAAAAAAGAAAGAAAGAAAGAAAAAGAAAAAAACAGAAAAAAGGGAGGCGCCACTCTGTGCTCCCCCAGCAGCTTCAGAAAGAAAAAGAATTTGTCTCTGTAGAAAAGCTCCTCTTTAGCTGCAGGAACCGAACGGCCTAAGCGACGGCTTGAGGGGCAAAGTAGCAGACTAGGGGCGAACGAACTGGGCCGAAGGGATCCCCACAAATTGCAGATACTAAAGAGACTCTGGGGCTTCTGACCACCGCCTGGGACACGTAAGGAGCTTACGCAGGGTCAGGAGGCTGCCCCTTGATTCTGTATCCCCGTCTTCCGACGGCCTGGGGGGTCATGTCCAGAGGCCCAGGCTCCGCGATCCTACCCGCCGCCCTGGGGTCCCGAAGGCCGGCCCCCCGGAGCTTCAGCTGTCTGTCAGACCTGGAAAGGAGCGCGGGCGTGGAGCTACGGCCCTGTAGGCCCCCGGGGAGCCCGGGCTGCGCACCGCAGCCCTTGCGGGCACCATCGGGCTGCGACCCCCACCTGCGGCCCATCATCCTGCGGCGGGCGCGCTCGCTCCCCAGCTCCCCGGAGCGCCACCAGAAGTCCGCGGGCGCGCCAGGCGCGCCGTGTCGGCCGGGCTGCAGCCGGCAGCTCCGCGTGCGCTTCGCAGACGCACTGGGCCTGGAGTTGGCACAAGTTAAGGTGTTCAACACAGGAGACAACCCATCAGTGCCGCTGCACGTGCTATCGCGGCTCGCCATCAACTCGGACCTCTGCTGCAGCAGCCAGTACCTGGAGTTCACCCTGCAGTGCCTGGTGCCCGATTTCCCGCCGCCCATCGAGGCCGCGGACTTTGAGGAGCGCCTGCAGAATCAGTTTGTGTGCCTAGAGCGTGTCACTTGCTCAGACCTTGGCATCAGCGGTACCGTGCGCGTGCGGAACGTGGCTTTCGAGAAGCAGGTGGCGGTGCGCTACACCTTTTCTGGCTGGCGCAGCACACACGAAGCGATAGCGCGATGGCGCGGGTCAGCGGGTGCCGATGGCTCGGAGGACGTCTTCGCCTTTGGTTTCCCGGTGCCTCCCTTCTTGCTGGAGCTCGGCTCACGCGTACACTTTGCACTGCGCTACCGAGTGGCTGGTGCTGAGTACTGGGACAACAACAGCAGCCAGGACTACAGCCTCACGTGTCGCAGCCACGCACTGCACATGCCACGGGGAGAGTGTGAAGAGAGCTGGATCCACTTCATTTGAGCTGCATGGGGGCCGGGAACCTGGAGCTTCGGCCCACAAGGTGCTCCTGCTGTCATTCTGTGTGGGGCACTCACATCTACCGGGTTGTGCTAACCCTATGCCCCACCCCACCCCCCAAGTCGTCTGACTTCATTTCCTGCTGCTAGGTCCCCTGGAAGTGCCCATCTTGTATTTGAGACGTCTCTGTCACCTGGTCTGAAATGTAGCCTCAGGTGGTCAGAAGGCCAAAATGAATTGCGTCATGTGCTGGGGGAGGGGGGTGGGCAGGTGCATGGGAGTCTTGGCCTCTCTGGGGAGGGCTCCGAGAGGGATTTTCTTTAAAAGGCCTGAGTCTGCTAGGAAGGCCTTTTGCATGCATCCTGAATGTGTGTATCTAAATGTAGCTGTTATTTATTATTGTGATGCTGGGACCTTTGGCCCATAGCGGATCCTGCCTCAGGAACATTCTAGACTTGCAAGCTTATGCAAAGGTCAGTTCTGTTGTGTTTGTGCTCCTCGTCAACAGACTGTTTAGTATGACCCCCATCGTGGTCCCTCCTGGAATTCCTGTCCCAGGACAAGGAAAACTTGAGACCTTGTTTGCTCGCCAATGTCTGTAGCCTTCTAACAGTGGGAAACTATTAATAGGCAAGAAATTTATGTCTCATCAGTCATCACACAACCATTCCTAGGCCTTGAGGCTGCCCTGGTCAGGCTGTGTGTCTCCTACACCAACAGCTGAAGAGGAGAAAAAACTTCAAACTTTTAAACTGCAAACAGCTCTTTCCCTGCATCACTCCTCTGATTTCATGTATTTCTTCTGTACATGCTTGATAATTACACATTAGGCCATTCTGTTTAGGTTTGAAACTACCTAAACATTTAAAGAAATCCTGCCTTAAATTATTTCAATTTTCAGGTGACTACAGAATTTCAGGCAACAGTGCCCTTTGCAATTACCTTTTTGATAACTAAGGTGACTCTTTTCATTTCTTTATAAGCATCAGAAAATTCCAGCATTTATATTTCTAGAGTCCAGTTACCAAGTGGAACTAGATGTTTTCAGCAGTAGCCAGAGCACTGGAGGGAAAAATAACTTACAAATATTTATACTTTTATATTGTTTTAAGCTGCATTACATGACACGTTTTATCAGCTACCTGCCAACTTTATTCTTTGTGCCTTCGCATAGAACAGTTTCTAACATTTTCTTTATTTCATTTATTTATTATTATTTTCTTTTTTGCAGTTTTTGGCCCAGACTGGGTTTGAACCCGCCATCTCCGCCACAGGCGCCACCCAGTGCTTTTATTATTTCTTAGGCCTCCAACAAATTGGTTGAGACCACTGTCCTCTGCAGAGTGCTGCAGTTACTTAAAACTGATCTAGGATCTGATGAGATCTTTAGGTGCTGACCAGTGGTCTTTCTGACAGCAGGTGCTAGAAGTGAGGTGTGAAAAACTCAGCCATGATGGACAAGATCTCCAATTTATGAAGTTTCTCTCGGATACACCTGAAATCAGTGTGATCCATTTTGTGATGTCTGTCACCAGTAAATTGACTCTAAATTTTTAAATTCTTGTTGACATTTGTCAAATCAATATTGAAATGATGCATTTGGCCTTCTAACCAGTTTGTTATTGATAATTGTATCCTGTGTTTTTAAAATTCCAAGAATGGGGATGGCTTTCTTTTTATCTAAGAACCCCGCCTTCTGACTTAAAATGTTGTGACTGAATCCCGCATGCTCTGGCTATTAGCACCGTGCACTGCATTGACATGCATACGAGAGGGAAGCCTGGTTGAATTTCCTGCTATTTAACAAACTGTCCAAATAGGTCAGCAAGCCTGCAAGGGCCTTGGCTGCCAGCCCCTTGGCCCTGCCTGGAGTTCTAGACAGTTGTCCAGAGTATTCAGGTATGAGTTAGAGCTGCCGAATGTATTGTTGAAAAGCATGTAGAAAATCTTATAGTCTATGTGAAAGTCACTTGCCAAAAAGGTTCTAGTCATGAAATAGAAAGCTATAAAGTAAATGTTATATCTTTAATATTAAGAAAACCTCAAGGTGCCTTTTTAAAAATATCAACAATTTGAAATTTAAAAGCTTAAAGATACTTGCCTAGTCGAAAAAGAAGCTGGGGAACAGCTTAGGGAGAACTTTCCAAACCTAAAACACAGTTATATTGCTTTAGATGTTAAAATTTTGTAGTGAATTGTGCAACTGCTGTGCTGTCTCCCCAAATATATCTTAATGTCAGTCATTTCAAATAATTTTAAAGTATTAAAGGCTAAGTATTAAAGTATATGTGCAAAAATGGCTGTGGATTCTTCTATTAAGCTGGATGGCACTTTTCTTGTGGTCTAGTTACAGAAGACAAAGCTTTAGAAACTTCTTGATTGTTTAAATCATTTTATACATAAGTCTTATCCTTTCTAAGAACATAAATGTAGGGCACTGGCAAGAAAAATAGATTTTATAATTGTACTTCACCTTCAGTAGCAGAGCTGTGTGTGTGTTTGGGAAAATGGAAATAACCACCTTATATTCCAGGTCAGCATTGCATATGGAGAAAGTTTTAGAGGACCCCAGGGGATGTAGTAATTATTACATATGAAGTAATTATTGGGTTTCTGTCTCCCCCTCCCCCCCAGGACTGTGACCTTCCCTAAGTACCAAGTCTTGTACATAGAGGTAAAGACACACTTATTGTATCTTCCCTGATTTGCTAGGCCACGGTGCTATGTGCTTTATTTATTTGATTTCATTTAATTCTGAAAATTATTACCTGGTAGATAATATCTCCATTCTCTTAGCTGAAGAGAGTAAAACTCAAGAGAGGTTTAAGTACAGTCATGGGATGGCCATGTAATGACACTGTGGTCAAAAGGCTGTATATATGTTTTCTATATATGCATATGTTTATATGTATATATATTTTTAAATGTGTGTGTATATATATATTTACTATACCTTTTCTGTTTAGAGACACAAATATATATACACACAATTATACATAGTGTTATAATTGTGCTATAATTACCTCCAGTATTTGGCACAGTAACCTGCTGTAAGGGTTGTAGCGTAGGAGCAATAGGCTGTACCACAGCGCCCCAGCATATATGAGGCTACACGATCTAGGGTGGCGTAAATACACTCTATGATGTTCCTACACAGCAATGAAATCACTTGACAACATGTTGCTTGGAAGGTAGCTCCTGTTTTCAAGGAACACATGATTGTAATTTACCTCAAGTCCCACAGTTGTTCGGTAGCAAATTGAGCATTCAAACTTATACCAAAGACTATGCTCTGCTGTGGCATAGGATATAAAATGTTCTCAATAAGGGATTACTAAATTTAGCTGAAAGCTGAATTTTGATTTTGATTGATAAAGTTTTTCATCAAAAACAGCAATGTAAAGCCTTTAGAAAACAATTCAAATACTAAAATTAGTAATACACTTTCTTCTTCCACCTTGTAGTTTAATGATATCCACTAAGCAATCCCTAGGCTTTATAAACACATGAAACAATAAAAAGCACTCTAACAGCTGTCTTCTCTCTATAAAAAGTGGTAAGGTGAAACCTTAATTTTTGAAGTTGATTAGTAAAATTCCTGTGCAGTCACAACTCCATCATGAAGTATCTTAATTCTCTTAGAGGAAAAACGAGGTACAAAAATAGTTGTTATGCAAAATCGGCGAATCAGTTTGAAGTGCTCTACACCCTTCTTACATTTTGTATCATACATTGTTAATACTTATGTCAATTATTCAAAAGCAAATTCAAAAGCCACGAAAACCTTGAATATATAAAATTCCCCTAAATCTTTGTACATTAGGTTGCATATGTTAATTTGTAAGCTCTAAATTAAGAAATTTAGGACTCAAAATTAAGTTAAAGGAGGTAGTTGCAAAGTTGTCAAGAAGTCTGTAATCCTGGCTAACCCGAATATTAAAAACACCTTTGAGAGATGATGTGATTCTACGCGATTTTCTCTGCCTTGGTCCTCAGTAGAGTTTTTTATTCCCTTATGTTCATTTTTCCAGTTGCTTTCCACTGCACATTTAAATTATAACCCAATTTCTTTTTCGAAACAGGTAGTGCCTTTTAGATAGGAAATTAGGATGCTAATGAAATATCATTGTAAGTTTTGATTTCACGACATTAAAACTTTAACTCTACATACACTTTGTTACAGCAGTTCCACTTTCAGATGCATCCAGACTTATGTTAGATGATCAAGGTCCTAAGTTAAAAAAAAAAAAAAAAA